AGTGTGATGTCCAGATCTCCGCCGCAGTAGAAGACCAGAAGACTCGACGGAGGTCGAAGTCGCATAAATAGCTTTGGTAAAATTGGGTGTCAGACACTAGGACAACATGAGTAAATTAGTATTAGAAGATATGATTGTTAGTTAAATTAAGAATTTGCATTTAAATTGTATTAAAATAAGATGCAACCAAAATGAAACAAATTTGAAGAACTTAATGGATACAGATAACTAAAAGTATTTCTACTTAGAATCGATTACACCCTTTAGTTATAGTTGATCTCTATGTTGTGCAATGGATATTAGATGTTATTCATTGATTCTTAATTTGATTCATTCCCTTAGTCCGTTAACAAATCATAATGATCCTATGTATTCTAATCATTATGGTTCTCTATTGAACTTTTCCATATATATATATATATATATATATATATATATATATATATATATATATATATATATATATATATATATATATATATATATATATATAGGGAAAAGTTCAATAGAGAACCATTATTAATCAAGGAACCAATCCAAAGTGTCGAAATTTAAAGCGATCAACGACAAAAGGAAGAGTTGTAAAATTTTATAATGGACGCACATGTACCGGATTATAACAAAACTCACTTCCTTTTTTTCATTTAAATTTTTTTTTAGGCTAAGTTGTTTATCGAAAAAAAAAATCGGATATACCGTTGTTCACGATTTTTCGTCCTCTTTCCATAGAGATCCATGATGATATATAAAAAACAAATTTTTTTTTTTCGAAAAACCCACTTAATTTTCTTAGTTTTTTCAATATTTAAGTTTATTTTTATCAAAAAAAAACTAATTATACCAAAAATATTAATTTTTTGTACTCTATTAATAAACAACAACACCGATTAAAAAAAAAACCTCGAGCAGTGTAGATTCACACTGTGAATCTAAACTGTAAATATTTCAATTTTTAACATTCACAATATGAAAAATTTTGAACAGTTCAGATTCACATTGTGAATCTGAATTACTATTATGCACACTGTGAATCTGAGAAGGTTCACAAAAAAAAAACCTCGATCAGTGTATATTCATATTGTGAATCTAAACTGTAAATATTTCAAATTTTAAAATTCACAATGTGAAAAAGCTCCGATCAGTTCAGATTCACACTGTGAATCTGAGGAGGTTCACAATGTGAATCTGAACAAGTTTATAATATGAATCTGAACAAGTTCACAATGTGAATCTGAACTGAAATATGTTTTTTTTTTTAACATGAATATGAATCTATGTTTAAAAAGTACAAAAAATATGAATTTTGATATATTTATTAATTTTTTTCTATAAAAAATAGACCTTAACTTTTTTCATTAAAGAAAATAAAGTGGGTTTTTTTCGAGAAAAAAAAGAGTTCGTTTTTTATATATCATCATGGATCTCTATGGAAAGAGGACAAAAAATCGTGAACAACGGTATATTCGGTTTTTTTTTTTGATAAAAAATGGCCTAAAAAAAATTTTAAACGAAAAAAAGTGGTGAATTTTTTTGTAAAGGGTGAATTTTTTGGTATAATCCGGTGTGTGTGCGTCCAATGTAAAAGTGTACATTTATTTCCTTGGTCGTTGATCGTTATGATTTCCGATGCTCACGATTGGTTCTTTGGTTCCTTGGTTAATTATGGTTATCTATTGAACATCACCCTATATATATAGCCAGCCGACAATCATAGTCGATTTTGATAGAAGAATTGGATATATTAATATGGTTAAGATACTCTTCAAAGATGATTGTTGCTTTGCATAATCCCATAATTGACAATTCAATTACCAAACATCGGCATCTAATCAACTTCGGAGTTCATTATGATCGTGATTTTTCTTTTTGAATTGTATTTTGTCTTAGAATTTGAGGAAGGAATGCCAATAGGCATTTCTAAACATTGCTACAAGACTATGAATGTTGAGATTTTATTTCATTTTTATTGGCCCTCACAAAACATAATAATTTAATATACATAGATATTACACATATATATGAATATACCCATAACCGTCAATTATCCTGTACCTACCTTTGGACTGTATACGATAAGTCATGCATAACATGGTTCCTTTTTATGTTTTCCATACTAATTTTAAACCGTAAGATGGAATATGACCTGATAAAATACAATACGACTTGAATTATGTCTCTTTACTTTCTTGTTCTTTTTTCGGCTAAACATGACATTGATTACTAGAAATAACCTTTGGGTTTAAGCATTCAAAACTAGAGCAATTTTAGCCCAATTCAAATTTGGCCCAAAACTAGGTTCTACAGACTACAATAACTGTACTGGTAAATTGGTCACTTGTCAATTTCTCATCTTTGCGGAGAGTTCCGAAGAGCATATTGTCTCCTTAGCAGCTAAGCAGCATCACTGATTTGAATTTGTTGAAGCTGTTAGATCGAATATGGGGTATACGAAGGGCCTTTTTTCCGCCATAACCAGAGACGGGGAGCCGATAGTGAAGAAACTGGCTGCAGTGTCTGTATTTGGGGTGTTGCCTGGAGCCATGATCGCCTCTCTTATCTATTCTCCTCCTGATTTCATCTACAACAAGAACGCTCCTTCCAAATCTACCAATTAGAGTCTTAAAAGGTTGGCACTTCTCTTCCCTGTTATTTTGAATCTGTGTTATGTTAGGGTTTGCGTTTAGTTTTATCCCTCTTTTATTGCTTAATTGATTTGGATTATAGATGTTTCTAATTCAGATTATATGCTTCATATATAATTAGATACGGGGTATTATTTGGATTTAAAAGAGCGAGCCATTGTTCTAGTAAGTTGGGTAAAAGTCACCGATCTGTGCATGCAGCCAATCTATGTAGTCAATAGTTTTTTGGTACTCAACTTCTCATACTTTAGAAATTTATCTATGAAAATTGTTAATCGAGGGTCCTAAATTGTCTAATTAGGAACTAGGTGGATACATTAAACGACCCATTTTGATAAATAAAAGAGGGATTATACCCTTTCAGACCATGCATCATAGTCAATATTATGAATTGGCCATGAAACCAACGGGTGATAGAATTTAGTTGCAGGTAATAATTATACACAATTCCAGGCAAAAAAGTTGTAAACTTGGACTGAAAGAACATGTATAAAGAAAAGTATTTTGTATGGCTTTCTATAAATAAAGATTGTTATAAATTGGTGAAGTTTGCTCTTTAATTTTAAAAATTGATTCTTCTGGCCTGGCCTGATAAATCTCCTCAAAAATCAATTTTGGAGTTGTTGGTTGAATCCCATGATGACGATTTCCAAGCGAGTTGTTTTTTTAGCTTGGTTTTTTAATGCAATTGTAAAAACATTGAGTTAACATAATAAAAAATGTTGAACCAATTTTCCTTCGTATGAAGATGACAAGATTCCTCCTCATCACCAAGATACAATGTTTCAAGTTCATAGCTAGCTTTAGTACATTTTATTTAACTCTTCTCTTCCACTTAGCTTCAAGTTATGCATGACATACACACAATCATTCATCTGTTGTTGATGTAGCTAATTACTAAACAACAAAATAGAGAAATATTCAACAAATTAGATACCAACTCGGTAACATTAGGAGATGATGAGCAATTGCATTGATGAGATTGTAACAAATTAGTGAAATATTCTTAATTCTTGTGTCTCATATTGTTTACTAATAAATACCATTCTTCTTGACCAGGGTATGTATGTATGTCTGGACCTCGAGGATGGACTGCAATGCAATAATTGTTAGATAGTTTTGAAGCAATTGTTATGTATTATTCACTATCCTAAAATTATCGATGAAAAAGACAATATTGTTTTTTCAGTGGAGTTGCATTCTTTTGATGCAAAGAGTGTTATAAATGCAATATTTGTTTTTGATTTTTTTTTTTCTTTTTTTTGCGTCAGCTTTCGACTCCATTGTACATGGTAGATAATTAGGTTAAAATGCTAAATCCATCCCAAACTTAAAAGTAATAATAATAATAATATACTGATAATAAAAAGAAGTAAGTATATGTTACATCCTTGAAGCAACAAACACCTTCATTGTCCCTAATCTCGCTCATTATCTGTTTTTAAATCCATTTTACTTTAAGATTATGGGCTTGTGTTTTCCCTAATAATTATAATAATATTTAGATCAGTCGATCAATACTACACATTTTTAGATGTATTCACACATTTACGAATGTGCAAAAATATGAACTTTGTGTTGTGATAAATTATTTGTAAATTTCTACATTTAAAATTGTGAAAAACGACTAGTTAAAACTCACTTTAAAGTGTAGTAAATTACTAAAATCTTTACAGTTGGGAGTAGTGGCTTAGAATTTAAAGGTTTTAATATTCACAACTATTAGGCGTGGATATTTTTCCTCTTATCTCCATGCTATTATTTTACACGTTCATGAACACTATTTACACAAAATAATATATTTCTATACAATTAAGTGTAGTTTTCTGTTATTTTCTAATACTTGAAAATTTGAAATATAATTACGTAAAAACGTAATATTTTATACATTTGTGTTAAGTGCAAAGATTTCACATATATGTTGTAGTGTCTATACATTAATGGAAAACAATCTCTAAGTTAAACTATTAAAATGGGCTTACGTAATCTTTTGGCAGTAAATCCATTCGAATATATTGACTAATAGTTTCAAAACAGATTTTGTAATCATCCTTCATGATTTTAAATGTAATCGACAACTATTATATATTTCTCTTATAACACAACACAAGAAACAAGCATTCACAAAAGAAAGTTGTAATATACATGTGGAACATCATCAATACCTACAAACTTTTCACCTGTTCTATTCTTAAAAATTCCTGGGAGTAGGAGACATACTTGGCTCTAAAGATTGCCAAAAAAGAAGCAAACTTTATCACTTATAATATACAAATACAACTTAACTCGAAAGCAACATATCCCATAACACCACCCTATATAAACCTCCATTCATCCCTCATATTCTTCATTCAATCTCTTCTCATTTCACCACCAACACACCAAAATGACACTCTCCTCTTCAAAAAGACCATCCCTTTTCTTCTTTTTCCTTTCCCTTTTCGCCCTTTCAACCTTTGCCCACGAGTTCTCAATCGTGGGGTACGCCCCCGAGGATTTAACATGCATTGACAAAGTCATCAACCTCTTTGAATCATGGCTCTCAAAACACGAAAAGTTGTATGAGAGCATGGAAGAAAAGCTACATAGATTCGAGATCTTCAAAGACAACTTAAAGCATATTGATGAAACCAACAAGAAAGTTAGCAACTATTGGCTAGGACTCAATGAGTTTGCTGACTTGAGTCATGAAGAGTTCAAGAACATGTTCTTAGGACTCAAGGGTGAGATGCCAGAAAGAAGAGAGGAATCGCCTAAAGAATTCACTTATAAAGATTTTCTTGATCTCCCAAAGTCTATTGATTGGAGAAAAAAAGGAGCCGTTTCACCCGTCAAGAACCAGGGTTCATGCGGTTAGTATAACAAATATTATATCATCCTCTAAGATTATTAAATTTAGAGTAAACTACAAATTTAAAAACTTTCCAGTTCTGGTCATTTTTTCAAGGTTTTGTATTGATTTTGGTCCTCGTTTCAAGGTAACTTACAGAATGGTCCCTGTGCTTTTTGATTTTTACTGTGTTGAGTCAAGAGTTGAAACCTTTTTCAACTCCGGTCTTTATATTTTAGAGTCTCATATCGATTTAATGATGTTCTGATGTTGGTCCTTAGTTCTAGTTTTTATATTGATTATGGTCCTTTTTTCATTGTTCCAGGGAACAAAATTGATATGAAATCTTGAAATAAGGACCAAAATTAAAAAAGTTTTAATATTGGACTAAACATGGTAAAATTTAGAAAGCAGAGTGACCATTTTCTAATTTACTTGGATTATGTCAAGATTCCATGGACCAAAATCAATAAGTAACCTTGAAATAAGGACCAAAAAATGACATACATTTTAATTTTGGATTAAACATGGTAAAAAGTTAAAAGCATATGGATCATTTTTGTAATTTACTCAAAAATTTGTCATGCATATTCTTTTTCTCATATGATATGGAATACAGGTAGCTGTTGGGCATTTTCAACGGTGGCTGCGGTGGAGGGTATAAACCAAATCGTGACTGGAAATTTAACAGTGTTATCAGAACAGGAGTTGATTGATTGTGATACAAGCTTTAACAATGGTTGCAATGGAGGTTTAATGGACTATGCATTCTCCTTCATAGTGAAAAATGGTGGGCTTCATAAGGAAGAAGAGTATCCTTATATCATGAGCGAAGGAACTTGTGATGAAAAGAAGGTAAAAGTCTCGACTTCAAATTTAATATCAACACATTATAAGCAAACAAAAAAAATGGTTGTCTAGTGTTTACTCTTGTTTATATGGTTCATTCATTGAAAAAAATATTCTTTATATATATATATATATATATATATATATATATATATATATATATATATATATATATATATATATATATATATATATATATATATATATACATTTGCTCTAAACTTTTATTTTTTTACATCTTTAGGATGTATCAGAAAAGGTGACAATAAATGGGTATCATGATGTACCTCATAACAATGAAGATAGTTTCTTGAAAGCACTTGCAAACCAACCTATTAGTGTTGCAATTGATGCTTCTGGTCGCGACTTCCAGTTTTACAGCGGGGTAATTAATTAGTCTCGTATAAACTTAATCGAATTATTTAAGTAATATATAATTATAATATATCTTATCCATTTCAGGGTGTGTTTGATGGACATTGTGGAAGTGATTTGGATCATGGAGTTGCAGCAGTTGGATATGGAACAAACAAGGGACAAGATTATATAATTGTGAGAAATTCTTGGGGACCAAAATGGGGAGAGAAGGGTTACATCAGAATGAAGAGGAAGACTAGTAAAAGTGAAGGGATGTGTGGTATTTATAAGATGGCTTCTTATCCTACCAAACAAAAGTGATCATGGCGTTTGTAACTTTTCCTTTTTATGTATTTTCTTGCTTCTTGTTTTCTGACTTTTAATCAAGTCAACCCCATCATTCTAATAAAAATGCAACTTATTTCTTTTAATTGCTATTACTAACGTGCTGTTTGTTTTTTCTGAAGCAAAATGTCTGCAGTCTGCGGACCACATCTGTAGACCTCTGCAGTAGAAGAGGTGGACCAAACGTCTGCAGTCTGAAAAAAGAAGACTGTTTGTTTTTTAACATCTGCGGGCTATTAAAATAAACTGAAATCTAAATAATCTGATTTTTTTAAACTTCAAAGTGATTTTTTTAATATTTTTTATGACTTTGTTATAAATAATTAACGAATCTAGATCAACTTTTATGTATTATTGTATAAAAAATAAAAATAAAAATGGTATGAATTAACGTATATATTTGATAAAAACCAACAACTTTGGTTGCAAAGTTATAACTAAACATTATAATTAGTGATCAAAGAATTTGATACATAAATGGATAGAAATAAACTTCGATTTTTTCAATTAAATCCATTAAAAACGTATCATAAATATTTTCTCGAGAAATTGACGATACTGTATTAAATAATGTTTTACAAAATTTGGCAAAAAAATATAAGAATATATTATGATTTTTTTTCATATTTATATAAACAATTTCAACGACTATTATTATAATAAATCTTTATTTATAAATTTGTCAAAAATATAATGTTTGTATCGTCGAACGTTTTTTTTTTTTAAGTTTTGTAATTTTTTTTTCAAATTGTTTATCATTAATAAAGTTGGAAAAAATATAAATAAATAAAAAACTTAAAAAAAATAAAGATATATATATATATATGTTGTTTTAGGCTAGAAGATGTCTGAAGATGTTAGAAGACTCTGGTCCACATCTGCGCCAAGAAGAGGGCGCACAGACATTTTTAGGTCTGCAGTCTTCAAAAAAACAAACGGTCTGCAAAGGCTAATGTCTGCGCGTGGTCTGCGCGGCGCAGACAGAAGAGGCCACGCAGATCTGCAGACAAAAAACAAACACTACCTAAATGTAGGAATTCGAGAATATAACAAACCAAATGGAGAAAGAAAACAAGAACGCTATGGGAATACTAAACTCCACTAGCGGTTCAAATTGTTAAAATCTAAGTCAACAAAAAGAAAATATGTGCCAAGTAGAAACAAAAAGTACAACCAGTAAGAAGATGTACTCGATTTCCAATTATATATTTGAATTTTGATAGAAAAATGCAACGATATACAGTCTCATAAGGCAGAAATTGTTAGTGTATTGGTGTGTCTAGAAGATACAACTATCGGTCAAAGATTGTAACACCTAGTTGGTAAACATTTTCTTAAATTATTAAACATTTTTTAGAGTTTAACCTTGGTCACGACGTGAGCACATGCGTGTCACGGCGTGACCATACCCCATGAAATGCACGTATCCTATGGATGTCACGATGTGACTGCATAAGGGTCACGACGTGACAACGGTTGCAAAGCCAAACCTTAATTTTTGGGATTTCTCCCCTATTTAAAGGAAGTGAGGGCTAAGATTAGCCCACCCTCAACCTCCATCACCTCCCTACACTTCCCTTTGAAACCCTAATCCTCCATAGTTAATTTGAGCTCCATTTGGTTGTTTTATAACCAAGAAGAAGGAGAGATAGAGTTTGGTGCATCAACTCAACGTTCAAGCTTCACAATCATCCATTCTCACACTTTCTGGATCCTTGTGAGTTTCTAATTTCAATGTTTTATGAGTCCATGAGTTGAGATCTAGGCTTTTATGTGTTATCTTCCATGTTTAGATTTCATAGAGTGTTGAGAATCCATAAAGTTTGTCATAAAGTTGCCAACTTTATGGATCTTCGGTGTCCCTTTGTTGAGATAAGTGTTGGATCTAAAGTATGGTAGGGTTTTGGGACTCTTGCATGAGATTATACCCCCAATACTTCTTTGTTTTGCCCTAGCTTGTGTTTGGAACATGCATTGGACATGCATGTCCACAAAGCTATGATATTTATGGTGTTCTAGGATAGAGAAAGCCTTCCGGAAGGTCTGAATTGCAAGGCTTAAAGCTTAGTGATTTCCCCTGATTAATGATGTCGGATTTCTACGTCTGGATGAAACCCTTGATTAAAGCTTAGTGATTTCCCTTGATTAATGATTTCCCTTGATTAATGATTTCCTTTGATTAATGATTTCCCCTGATTAATGATGTCGGATTTCTACGTGAGTCGTTATAACCATGCATGATAATGACTAGTTCGTCTGTCTTAGTATTCTAATGAACACCGAAATTTGATCTTAAGACTTTGTCACCCTAGACTGGTCGAGTCTAACTGTAGCGAACAGCTTAGGTGTGGGGGAGTCACCCCCGTATAGATCTATACACAAACTCTCGCTCTCCCTCCAGGAGACTTTGATTACAACTACAGACTACGACCGACACTTATTGGTGTCACCCGTTATTACTCACTCAATCCACATGAATTTGATTAACCTTGATTAATGATCGAATTTTAGTTTACATGAAGAGAAGGTAAGCCTAACAGACGAGAAGAAGAGGACTACTAGGCCCTACTAATTTCGTATGTTATTTAAGGCTGTCGAGTATACGAAAAGCGCGTTGGCCCATTTCGCATATAATTTATTTGGACCTTACTAGTAATGCTAATGGGCCACTGAGGCCCAATAGCATGTAAAAACCATTGAGGGTCCATTAAGCATGTATATGGGTCACAGGAGGCCCAATAACATGTATTATTTAAGTTGGGCCCAAAAGCCATGTTAATGAGTCACGAAGGCCCATTAAGCATGATTAGAATCTCTCAAGCCCAACCATTTGAACGTTTACTTGTTTTGTATAGTACTAATGTTGCGAGTTGTTTAATCGATATGTCGTATAAATCACGAAATTGTTTTATAACGATTTATAACTGTATAAAATAGTTATTTTTCTATTTAAATCCCATAAGTTATAAAGTTTTGTATATTTTGGCCCGATTATTATTATTATTAACATAATTGACCAAAAACATTAATTTGACCTATTCAGCCCCCTTATTTTGTAAAGTTGGCAATTTTTGCCCTTTTTATAAAAAAAATGACATTTTAGGTCCTTGAACCATTTTTCTTGACATCTTTGACCCAAACACTTATTTAAATAATGTTTTAAGCCCAAAAGTGACTTTTTGAAAGTTTCAACCCCTTTAGTTAAAAGATTTGCATTTTAACCCACCTTTTTCGCATCTTTTACACTTTTTACCCAAAATCCAAATTCTTTGCATTTTAAATCCTTTTTACAAATATGATCATTTTAAACCCTATAAATAGATTTATTTACCTTTCTACCCACTGTTTTGAGTAATTTCCATTTCAGCCCCTTAAGAAACATATTTTTCGCAACTTTGGGCTTATGGGCCGAAAGGCCCAAAAATTAGCCCAATAAGTCATAAAATTTCATTTTTAGTCCTTTGAAAAACATAATGTTCATAGAAACTTCTATTTTAACTGTTTTGGCATTTTGAACCTTGTAAAAACCGCAAATGACATCTTTTCCCTAAACTTTTACTTATTTGACAAAAATAGTCCAAAAATGAGTTTGATGTTGTGGTATGTTAATTTAAAGCTTGTATATTAGTTTATCTTGACATGTTGAGTGAAATATAAACTAGATCACATATTTTTCCTTTTTGAACTATAGATCTCGAAATATCTTTCATCTTTAGCACAAATATATCACAAAATCACAAGAAATCACACATAACATACAAATACACATAGATCTTCACATTTTACTTGCATTCTCCCCCATAAAACATATGAAAACCAAAAATAGAAGGGTATGAAACTCACCTTAGGTTTGTGGGTTCGGTTTTGAAGAAGGAAATGGAAGAGTTTTGGTCCTAGTAAGCCTTCTTGGGTGGATCTCGAACTTAGAGTTCTTTAAGATGATGATCATGAGTTTGTGTGAGTTTAGAAAGATTCTTGATGAAATAAAGAGACTAGATTATAGATCCAAGCATTTAACTTACCTAAGGTGATGATTCTTGTGGAAGAACCTCCTTGAAATGCTCCAAGATCTCGAAAATTTGGATAGAGAATAGGATGTGCTTGAGAGTTTTTAGGATGAGAGTTTGAAGATGTGTGTGTGTGTGTGTGTTTGGTGATCCTCGGCCGAAACAAGAAGAGAAGAGAGAGGGGAGAGTCTTGAGTTGATGGTGCATGGAAATATGGGATTTGATGCATGGATATCCCATGGGTAATTATGAGGTGTCATGGAAAGTCAACCCTCCCTTATCCACTTTTTATTATTCTTTTTTTTGTTTTGTTTTACTTGGGCCGAGAGAGAGAGAGAGAAGAGAAAAGATTTGGGCCTTAATGTTAGAGTCCAAATTATGGAGCCCAAATTAATAGCTTTCGGCTCATTTGGGCCTTTGGAGTGGGTTTCGGCCCAAACGTGCATGCAAGAATGGATTGGTGGCTTTTTAGGGCTTATTGGATTGTTATGGCCCAATAAGGCCCATTAAAGGTAAACTAGTCCATTTTAGACTTATAAAGCCCAAAAAGGTTATGTCTTATGAGAGTGGGTCCAATTAGAGCCCATTTAAGAGTTCTATGCCCAAGATAGTCACATTGGAGGTTTATTGGCGCTTTAGGCCCAATAAAGAAATCCTAGTCCATAATGGACTTAAACCGGGATTTCTAGGGTTTCCAACCTTTTGTTGACTATTTGAGTGTTTTGAATAGAGTGTTTGATGGAATTTGGTTGTCATTGAATAAGAATCATACGTTGCTTTCAAGTTTTTGTTACAATGTTATCCTTGTTTAATGTTTACAAAGCATTAGAATTCCTAGTTGTGACATCATCCCCTCGTTAGAGGGAATTTCGTCCCGAAATTCTTTTTGAAACTAGATTTAAGAATGCAAGAATAAGTGAGGGTACTTTTGCTTCATCTGGTCTTCGCGTTCCCAAGTGAATTCCGGTCCACGCTTTGCGTTCCACCAAACCTTCACTATTGGAATGCGGCTTTGCTTAGTACGCTTCACCTCCCTGTCCATGATTTCGACGGGTTCCTCGATGAA